CTGCGACCGTCGATGCCTGATTCTGCGCCAGAGGAATACAAGAAACTTGCTGAGCGGTGTTGTGATGCTGATCCTGATAAGCGTCCAAAGAATGGACTGACACTTTTCAATGATATTGGCAACCTTACTTACAAAGTGGGAACGGGCAGGTCTGAGGACAACACATGGAATGCTATCTATCGCAATGATGTAAAGTCGTTATCACATCTCGAGAAGGAGAGTAAATACTCTAGTAAACTCTTACTTACTGGAGATTTGCCTATACCAACAAATAGCTATGATTTGGATTCGGCTGCAGGTATATAAACTTGTAATTTACGGTTTATTGCAGTTTATTTTTATTATTTTTATTCAAAGTGATGTTGTGTGTAAATTAGTATTACTCTACGCTTTCACCATTACTATTTGGATTGAATTTTGATAATTCTTATAACATTAACATCTGATATGATAAGTTTTTGTATTGGCATAATCACCACTACCCCATAGACCCTTTATATTATCTCTTATATTTTCTTTTTTATGATCTTTGTCACATAAAGGACAGATTACTGAACAGTGTCAAAATAATCATTATCCCCACTACTATATTTCAAAGATAAAACAGGAAATCGTTCCAATGCCATTTTGATAACATGTTGTTGCCTTTCTTCTGGGTCTTTAGGTAGAACAGAAATTGAGAATTGTCGATCAGATAGTGTAGATTGAATATTTACCCGCGGTACAAATAAAGTCTTTTCCTCAAAAGATATTTGTGTGAATCGAGCATGGATTTTTTCCCATGCTTCCATAAGATCATCAAGCCATGCAGTACTCAAACCACTTTTTAGTATACCTTGACGTAATAACTCTTCACCGACCAGCCTTTCCCGATCTGTTAAAATTTATGATATTTTCTATTGCGGAGCAATGGCTCTTCGAGCCTAGGGTCTTCTTTTCTTTCTATTCCACCACGATAGAAACGTATATCTCTTTCCAAATCCCCATGAAAACATCCCATGGTCCACCTATTTTTCTCAGTCTCTGTAATAATCGAAAACTCTTTGGGATTTATTTCATGTTCGATGGCATACTGATAAAGGCGATTTTTGTTTGGTGCCATTACCTGAGTTTCCAATGAAATGTCTTGTATAATATGATTATCAGCATTTTCGCTTTGTGGGGATTCAGGAAGTTTCAGACTTTATCCAAGGATCAAGTCCAGTCTCTTCTGTGTATGCTCTATATAATTTAGAACGAATTTTTTTTGTCTGAAACTTGGTAAATCAACTAAATTAGCATGCCATTTGTAATAGTCATCTGTTAATATCTTGCTGGAGGTAGTATCAGAAGACATGTTATCATTTTATATTAATGCAAGTCAATTCAAAATCACGTAGCTGTCAAGAAAAAATATCACTTTACTTACGCAGTTATTTCAATTTCGTGTTGCCCACATTTAATAAAATAAGATTCAGCTTCATATCTACCTCTTATACTCTTCTCATCCTTATGACTCGACTTGCATGCTGGACATAGTGACTTATCAATAAGTCCATAATAATCAAATTCTTTGCTACTAAATTCTCTATATACAGTATATCAGAATATTGACCCAATATTTTATTACGAAAATAAACATGATCATGAGCTGATACACTTGCATGATCTATAGATGGAATCTTATTTTCTAGCAATATATTATCTTTCAGAGAAAGTGCACAAAATGCATTAGATGAAGCACTCACCCCTCTGCATTAGTCTGATCGTTCCCTGAGGGAACAGTTTTTAAAGTCACTCGATTTATAATATTTTGGATTTGGACATTAGTCAGTTTTGAAATCTCATTCATGCTATAAGTGACTTGCTTAATTTTATCTATTCCAACCCCATCTTTCCGAATAGCATAAGAAGTTTTCTAGCTCTAAGAGTTTTTTTGCACAAGTTATCTTGTGTGATATTAGGAAGAAAAGGTTTCATTTCTTTGTAAATCACTGTTCTAGCCGTTTTGTCTTTGGTTTTACCATCAGCTGTAATATCACGAACCTTATTTTCGAATTCAAGAGAATAATAATACCAGTTTAAGATTTCCTGCTGTCTTGATTTGATTGCTGTTTTAAATAAATTAGACAAATGTCAGGCAGAATTTTCAAAGAAAACAAACATCGATCCCTCCGAAGACATATTCCCTGATTTGTCACTGGAGTTGCTAATTTTGATAGAGCTGTCGTTTTCTTTAGTAATTCTTGTATTAAACCTTGTTCAACGATTTGGTTTTTTATCAATTTCATCGTCCTGTTCTAATTCAGACACTTCAGTTTGCAACGAAGGTGACTCAGTTAAAACTACATGACTTTGATCGTTCCCTGAGGGAACGGTTTTTGCATTATGATTGACTTGGGATTGTGACTCCATATCTCTGAATGTAATTTCATGAAATTGCGATAAGTCTTGGGCTTGCTTTCCAGCTGATTCGTGCTGAAGCTTTTTTTCTCTATTTCTATCTCTTATCTCATTACCAACCCTTTCTTTAACTTTCGAATCCACAAAATCATCGATCTCTTTATCTTCCAACGATTTGATCTCTGGTTGGTATAAGTCAGAATCGGATTTGCTATCAGATGTGTTTTCTATCTGTTTTGGGGTATTATTAGAGTTTATTTTGGAAGAAACAAATTTCTCAGTGGTATCCCTTTGTGCCTGTTCTAGATTCACAGAGTTGGTGATATCATCCTTGCTGGAGTGGTCATTAATAGACAATGGAATAGGCTTCTGTGGAGTTACTGATAATGTCAGAGAAACTGAAGACTGTGAAGTATCATTAACAGTTCGATTTTGCTTTATAATTTGTTTTACTTTGGTATTTTCGATCCTAAGGTTAGCAATTTCTTCTATAATTTGTTTTAATTTAGTGTTTTCAGCCTCAAGTGTAGTAACTCGCTGTTTCAATAATTCGAGCTCTGATGACATGTTTGGTAATAATTTTTATATAGAGCATGATTTATTTAAATTATTAAGTTAAAAATACGTTTCCGTCCCCATTTGTCACACTGATCACTTAAGTGGTAATGGAACACATGATTGACTTTTCTGGGTCAGAGATATGCATAACACGTGAAAAAATTCATTGCTTTATTAGTTACAGAAAGGGCCAATGCTCACATACATCTCAGTGGTCGGACTTAGATTTTTCCTCAACCCGACACTTTTTAGCATCAGGTGCCTTCTCTATTTAACGCTTTTCATTTTGGAATCAGTACGATTTCGGAAACAAATGATTTGCAATTCCGGATCAGTGATATGTATAACACATTGAAAAATTCATTTCTTTATTGATGGGCAGAGCCCTGTGTCAGACACATGAAAAAAAATTTTACAAGCTGAGTAAAATCCTTATATGCAACGCTTTTTTTTTAAATGCTAATATCAAACGATGTCCTAATCTTGAACATCTTTTCTTATTAATAGTTCTTGCTATACAGACCCTGATTCTTTGTTGAGAATATTATCAACGCGACGTTTTTTCGCCAATGGTTTCTCATCCACTGCGCCTGCCCTATCCTCCAACAAACCAACAATTACTTCCATTACCCTTTTTACACTGCGCCTGAATTTGTCTTCATTATCGAGTGCCGACTTTCTGAAATTGATGGAGTAACATTTCTCGCTCGTGGAATAAATTCCTTCAGTCGTGTACAAAATGAAGTACCATTCCGTCGCTAAAAGTTGAGAGATAGATTAGCAAAATTCTGTCGGAAAAAAAATTCATTATTAACCCTTACCTGTAGTTACGATCCCATACATGTAGTCATATTCGTCGGAAAAAGCCTCCTCTGCCTTACGTTTCCTCTTATTCGTTTGACATGCACTCTCAATCTGAAGTAAATTCTGACAGAATCCCATCGCCACTTGGTGTTGTTTACTTTCCGTGATACACACAATTTCCTCTCGCAGTGAATCTAGGAGTTTTTTGATGGCATAATCAACCCGACCTGTAGTTTCATCACCGACGACTTCGAATTGCGGTGCTAGGATAAGGCCTTCGAGGAGGCTAACTGACGCATGCAGAATTGATGATATGAATTCATAACGCACCGCCTCATTGCTATCTGGTGCTAACCCTCCTAAATTTTTTAACCTGAGTCGTAATTCCTTTATGCATTGCATGAGCGCTTCATTGGTGTCCTCGAGTTTGTGTATAGCCGGTTCGAATTGCGGGATGCTTGATATGCTATCTCCAAGTTTATGCTTCGCAAATACTTTTATGTCTGCCTGAGTGTAGTAGGAGGAGAACGAACGCTTCGGCTTGGCCTTGAGAACCTTGGATTCTTTTGCAAGAAGTGTTGCCGGACCACCTTTTAATCCATAACTTTGGAAATCTTCTCTGGTCATATCGAGGAAGGAGAGGCCATTGATTTTTTCTTTGCAGATAATAGCGAAGTCCTCATCGTCAAGCTTTAGGCCCTGCGCTTGCAGGTAAAGGACAAGACCCTCGGTATCCCAGTTTTCGACTAAGTACGCATTGAGTTCGGTTGTGGAAATAGACATGGTATACTGCTTTATATACTAATACGAAAATTTGTGTTGTGCGAGTGTTGGTCCGGAAAAATTTTTTTTTTAACGAATAATGGGGGAATCAGTGGTATATGTGAAAATTTGATCAGTTACAAAATGCAATCAGAAGGTCACGCTTTGCCCTACATCATGCATGAAAAGTTACACAACCTTCTAATTTATGTAGCAATCAGCAGGTAACACAATTACATCATGCATGAGAAGTTTCACAATCTTCAATTTTATTCTGTGGTGCAGTATGTGATGTGTTGATCAAACATCTGCTGTGTTGTTACGCAATCGATTTTTCAGGCATGTGATTTTATTTGGAAATTTGGTCACTCATACGATTGCATCATGCATGAAAAGTTCCATGACATTCGATTTTATTCCGTGGTATACAGTCAGGCCTCGATAAGCCGGCCGCATAATTTATATTATCGAGTACTCTAAACAATATAAATTATGCGGCCAGCTTATCGAGGCCTGACTGTAGTATGTGATGTGTTCATCTGCCGTGTTATGCGCACGACCGAAATGTGTGACAGGTTATGCCAAAGATGGTGGCGTGACCATCAATTGATCTGACTGTCCCCCTGATTTACATTATTTGAAGACAAGACACAAATTTATA